ATTAGGCAACCTAGAGAAAGCATCTACCATAAAAAAATTTCTTTCCTGGAATATAGCGCAGGGTGAAATTGAACCAATTAAAATATTAAGGGCTGAAGATTTGTTTAGGGGATATGTTGCATGGAGTTTTCAGGGCTCCCAGATTTCTATGGTTAGTCCACACCTTGAGCAGGGTTTTTGCCCCTTCCAGGAAATGCCACCAAGTAAGCAGAGCCCACTGCACTGCATATGCCTCCTTCTCCCACACTGTCCACCTCTGTTTAGTTTTGGTAAGTTTTTTAGAGGTGCACAGATATGGTTGTGGCAGGCCCTGGGCATTCTTTTGTAATAGCACAGCCCCCATGGTTACATCACTCTCATCTGCCCGAAGTACAAAAGGAGTAGTTGTGTTGGAGTGCTTTAACACGGGCTCTGCCATGAATAGCTGTTTGAGTTTCTTGAACACTGCTTGGCACTCCATGGTTCACTTAAGTGGCTGACTCAGCTTTAGCTTGCCCTCGCCCTTAGTTTTTAAAAAGTTGGTGACTGGTAATGCAATCTTTTCAAATAAAGGGATGAATTGCCGGTAGAAATTGACAAAGCCTAGGAAACTCTGTAACTGCTTCCTAGCATGGGGAGGGGCCCACTCCAACACTGTCCTCACCTTTTCTGGGTCCATTTCCACTCCTTCATTACATTACATTACATGGTAACCCAGGTAATCAATTTTATCTTGGTGAAATTCACATTTAGAAAATTTTGCATACAATTTGACTGCTCGGAGCCCTTTTAAGACTGCCTACATCATTTTCATATGCTCTTCAATAGTTTCAGCATATATAAAATGTCGCTGGACATGTATTGAAATGGATGTTTATATGTTTTTATGTTTTCTACATTTCATTGTTCTGTTTAGTTTGTACTTATAAATAAAAATTGGAGGGAAAAAAATGTCGCCAAATATACCACCATCCCCTTGTATAAATAGTCATGCAATACTTCATTGATCAGTTGCATGAACACAGCTGGGAGTCCCTGCAGGTCAAAAGGGAGCACATGGAACTGAAAATATCCCAGAGGGCAGTTGAACATAGTTTTCCATTCATTGCCCTCCTTGATCCAAACCCAGTAATAAGCCTCCCACAAATCTAATTTAGTGAAGATTTTGTCTTTGACTAGATGCGCCAGCATGTCCTTCATCACGGGCAATGGGTAGACATTTTCTATGCACATCACATCTAGCCCCCTATAGTCAACACATTAAGAGTTCCATCCTTCTTTTCCTGGAACAATACCAGGGCTGCCACTTGCAGTCTAATCAGTTGAATAAATCCATATTTTTACCTATGAAAGCGCAGAGCTCTCCTAACTCTCATGGAGTCATTGAGTAAAGCTTAGGTTTGGGGAGTTTAGCCTCAGGAAGGATTTCAATACTACAGTGGGGTAATGGGGCAGGACTGCAACAGAGCCCTTCTTGCTAAACATGTCCCATAATTCCTAGTACTCCTTGGGGATTCTGGGCTTGCTTTTTGGGTGTTCCTGCACTGCTACCCCCAACTCTTTCTGTCCTTTGGTTTTCCTGCCTCTGGGTATTGGAATCTTGGCCACCTTGTGCTGAAATTTTAAAAGACCTCTCCTCAAATTTACATAAGGGTTCCATTTCTGGAGCCAAGTCAGTCCAAGTAGGAGGGGTCTCTCACCCCTTGTGCATCTATGAAACTCAGAGTCTCTTTGTGCTTTCCCATTCTCATCTCCACTATTTCAGTTATAAAATGAACTGCCTCACCCCACTACTGTTCCATGCAATTGGCAAAAAGCTATTGGCACCTTCAGTCACTTGAGTCTTAGTCCCAAATTTTCTACCACCTCAGGGCAGCTAGAGTCCAGTAAAGCCAACATTCTCCCCTGGGTTCCCGAGGAAGGCACCACTAGTTCCACATGAATGGTTACAGGGATCACATGTTGATTTACTAGGGGGTCACCGTCGTAGTTCCTTTCACTCTCAAGCTGGTTGGAGCTCCCAGCCCCTCAGAATCAGGTGGGTGAACTTAATGACCTACCATGCCTTTCAGCGCTGTTTCCCAGATCCTCAGATCTGGCTTTTCCAGCTTCTTTCCCAGAGTTATCATGACTTTGAGGCTGGGCTTGATTGATCAGCACTCCACAGCTTGGTGTTCCTCTTTCTTGAACTTGAAGCATGCTGTGGATTTCAGTCTAGGTCTGGATTTGCTCTTTGATGTCTTTGAGGTTTCTTTACATGCAGGAGGGCAGGATTTGCACCATCCATCATGGTGCCACCATGGTGTCAAGTCTCAAGCTGGGTCAATCTGTATCTCACCCACCAACACATACCAGTGTTGTAGGGTGCATGGAGCCCCATACAAAATACAGATAGACGCCATCATTGAGGCCTTCTTTGAAGCAATAGATCAGGATATCTTTAGGCCAAGTGGTTAGCTGGCATGCTCACTCTTGGAACTCTTGGGTGTACGCGGCCACTGACCTCCGCCTTTGGGTAATGGTCTTTATCCGGATCTGAGTTTTGCATTCTACCAGTGGGTCCTCAAACTGATGGCAAAGGGCTGCCATAAAGTGGTCGTAACTCCACAGTTGGCAGATGTCACCATTGAGGAGGGAAACCATCCATTCATCAGTGGCACCCTCAAGAGCCATTGTCACGCATCTTATTTGTGCTATCACCATCACCAATTCAACCCCATACTCCTGCATGTAGTTCCAGACTTGCACCAGAAGAACCCCAGTTGCTTGGGGGCTCCCCCATACTTCACCCCCAAGGCTGAGACCTTCAAGACTCAATGTCTCTGAGGGGCAGCCCTTTCAGGTGGAGGGACTAGCTCAGTAGCCACTGCTGGTGATGGCACTGGTGGCGCCGGTCCAGGCAGAGCAGGTGTGGCCATTGCTGTGATCTCTGCCACAGTAGCTCCATCCATGGCTTGGCTTGCAGTAGCCAAGGAAGTCATCTGAACAAGAATTTCCCAGGCTCTTTGGTTCTTGAGTGCCTCTTGTAACAGGTACAGGGCATGGCTCAGCATGGCATCCTTCAAGTTCTCATCAAGAGGAGGGACTTCATCCCCTCACACCACTCCAGCCTGTGGGAACCTCTGCTATCTAGGTGAAGGTTACCCTCAAGGATCATTTCTCTGGGTCTTCCTTTTGCCCTATGTCCATCAACCATCTGGGCCTAACAGGTTCCTCCTCTAGGTTTAGCTTCTCCAGCCATTCTGCCTCATCTCAAGTGTTGTGCGGTCTAGGAAGGAATCCGATCGTAGCCCTGGTCTCCTCTAGCTCAGTCTTATGGTTCAACATTTAGATGCTTGGACCCGATGGTAGACTGCAGTCTCTGGGTTGACTGTTAAAGCAGAATTTGCCTAATGTCAGGGCTGCCTCTGCACAATCCCTAGGAAAGAAAAACCCTTGACTCCATAGATTTAGAGAAAAGGTACTTTTACTAGGAAAGAACTGAATGTAGCAAAAGTCAGGCAAGAGCTGAAGCAAAATGCACACGAAGAAATGAACTGAAGCAAACCTCAGAGCCCACCCCCCAGTAGCCAGGCAACCAGAGTTCAATCCGTGGCCAGGCAGATGTTTGGGAAAAGTCTCTGGCTCAGGTGCATCGCTCTTCCTTTGTGCATTCTGAAGCCAGGACTGTTGGCCTTGAAAATAGTCCATTTGTTTGATTTTTTGTTAAAACCTTTATATTCTGGAAAATGTAAAATACAAAACTAACAAATTTTAAGACATTTGTAATTGTAAAAATTACATTGTGAGAATTTTTAATAGAAGAGTTACTGGGGAGTAGAGATTAAAAAAATATGTATATGTAGAACATCCCTAAAATAATATTTTATAATCCAAAATGACTACACTATTTTAAAGTCTTTTCATGGACCTTCAAAAAAGACAATGCCTTGTAATATGTTTTACTGGCTACTCTGTTCACTTGTGTCATACTGGATTCTCATATTGTACCAAAGAAATATTAATCATCTACTTTGAATTCTAGTTTTTGTTTATTGCATGTGATCATGCAAGCAATTACTCCTAGGCAGGAATCAAGACCTGGACAAATCAAGTATTTTGTAGGTTGCTGCCAATATAGGGTGCAATAAGGGCTGTTTTTTCTACTTTATATGCATACATCTTTTCTACTTTACATGCATACATGCATAATACATATATTAGAAAAGCTATAGCCAATTTAACTATTATATTGCATAATTTGTTGGAATGGTAAGCATTTTGTTTAGCTCAAAAACAAATTAGGATTAAAATAGCAAAATGAAATTGTCATTAATGTTGAAAACAAATATTTATAGATGCATTTAAAGATTAATGTGCTGCTTCTTCCTTCAGTAGAATTTGGTACCTCCAAACAAAAAATGATTGCAATATACTGTGAGGGGCCAACAATATTATTAGATTAAGAACGTGGGAATAATACACAGACATGCAAATTTATTGAAAAGACAGCACAAAGGTCACAATTTTTAATGTACATATAACACATTGAATCTTATTTTTCTAGATCATCCAAATAACTCAAGCACGATTTCTTTTATTTGTATTCACACCAGTGGTGGGTTTCAAAATTTTTTACTACCAGTTCTGTGGGTGTGGCTTGGTGGGCGTGGCATGGCATGACTTGGTGGGCGTAGCTTGGTGGGTGTGGCAGGGGAAGGATACTGTAAAATCTCCATTCCCTCCCCACTCCAGGGGAAGGTTACTGCAAAATCTCCATTTCCTCCCGATCAGCTGGGACTCAGGAAGCAGAGAATAGATGGGAGCGGGGTCAGTCAGAATTTTTACTACTGGTTCTCCGAACTACTCAAAATTTCCACTACCGGTTCTCCAGAAATGGTCAGAACCTGCTGAAATCCACCTCTGATTCACACTATTTATTATTATTTTTAAAAAAATTATAGAATAGTATATGAGTTATAACTTTATTTTTATGTAGAGCCACCAAGTTTAAAACAAAAAATTAGAAGAGAGAAATATACCTCTTGTTGTAGCTCTTCCCACCGAACATTGAATTTTTCAAGTTTCTCGTTGATCAATTCATCCAAAACTCCACCATCTGTTAAAGTTTGTGCCAATTCACGAATCTGATTGCGATTATCTTCTGGATGCTGCCTTAATATTTCCAGAGACTAAAAAATACCCATAAAAGGTATTACTGAGAGATTTCATTTATATAAAAGAAAAACAAATATTTCATTTCTACTTGTCAAGCCTCTGAGTTAGACCAAATTAGGAAATCAAAATTGCAGGAATATCAGACCTATTTTATTGAGACAAGCTACCATAACAGACTCCTGTATGCCTAATTTTGCTTTACCTCCGCTCCCGTTTATGTCCCAGTGACTAAGGGAAGAACTTGATTGAATTTCTTCTGAATTTTACCAGAACTTAAGGAATGTTGCACTTCCCGTTACTTACGTAATAGTTCTTACTTATTTCTGAAAAATCACTATAACTCTCTATATAATTAAAGTGGAAGATTATCATAAGAAAGGTAACCAATTGATTATTTTTTAAATATAAATATTTCCTTTGGGGAAAGGGCCTTGAGGATAGCCTCATTAAATTTTAAAGTCTAGATAGGTATATATGGAAAAAGTTGCTCTTATCAGGTAACCTGGTCCTAAGCTGTTTGGGGCTTTATATTTGAAAACCTGAGCTGTGAATTGGATTAACAGCCAGTAGAGATGGCAAAGTACAGACATAATATGTTCCTATCAGGAAGACATCCAGACACTATTTTCAATAATTGAATTTTCCAGGCAATTTGCAAAGGCAATCCCACATACAACACACTGAAATAATCAACTGGGAAATTTTCAAAATTTGAATAACTGTTGCAAGACTGTCTCTGGCCAGATACGTCACTGTTGGTAAATCAACCAAAGCAAATGAAAGGCATTCTATGTCACTGAGGCCACATGGCTCTCTAGGGATAATAATAGAATTTGGAATACCCCCAACTGCAAACCTACTCCACTAGGGTTACTATGGACTACTCTAGATCAAGTCATTCACCTGCCCAAATGCATTTTGATGGCTTCTCAGCCCATATCTGGGAGTCTTAGTGGACAACCATTTAAATATCAGCCAGGAGTGTGCAGCGGCAGCCAAAAAAGCCAATGCAATCCTAAATTGCATAAACTGAGGGATACAATCAAGATCAAGACATGTACTAATGCCACTCTATAAAACCTTAGTAAGACCACACCAGTGGTGGGATTCAACTAATTTAACAACCAGTTCTGTGCCCTAATAATTTCTTTCAACAACCAGTTTGCCAAACTGCTCAGAAAGTTAACAACCGGTTCTCCTGACGTGGTGCGAACTGGCTGAATCCCACCACTGGACCACACCTAGAATACTGCATCCAGTTTTGGTCACCACATTATAAAAAAGACGTTGAGACTCTAGAAAAAGTGCAGGGAAGAGTAACCAGGATGATTAGGGCACTGGAGACTACACATATGAAGAACAGTTGCAGGAACTGGGCATGGCTAGTCTAGTGAAGAGAAGGACCAGGGGAGACATGATAGCAGTGTTCCAATATTTGAGGGGCTGCCACAGAGAGGAAAGGGTCAAGGTATTTTCCAAGGCACCTGAAGGCCAGACAAGGAATAATAGAGAGAAACTGATCAAGGAGAGATTCAACCTAGAAATAAGGAGAAATTTTCTGACACTGAGAACAATCAACCAATAGAACAGCTTGCCTTTGGAAGTTGTGGGAGCTTCATCACTGGAGGCTTTCAAAAAGAGATTGGACTGCCATTTGTCAGAAATGGAGTATGGTCTCCTGCTTGGCGGGGGGTTGGACTAGATGACCTACAAGGTCCCTTTCATAATCTGTAATCTCTAGATGATCTCTCCCAATGGTTTCATATACAGTAGATGTTAAAAAGCATATGTGGTAAAATACGACTCAGACCTAACCAATTGCCAAATCCCCCAGCATCTTCTGAAAAAAGCCACTCTCTAAGGAGTAGAATCACCACAGTGATTCTGACAGGAGAATATCATGGTTGAGATACTGAAAGTTTCCAGGAGGACCAACATGGTCCTACTCTCCTTGTGTGATAGAATGTGCACCAGTGGTGAAATGTAAAATTTGCTACTACCGGTTCTGTGGGCATGGCTTGGTTGTGGAGTAATGTAACTGGGTGGGCGTGGCCAACTTTTTTTTTTACTTTTAAAAGCATTTTTTCCACAACCTCTTTGGCCGAAGAGGTTGTTACAAAAATGCTTTTCAAAGGCTCTGACAATCCCAGCTGACTTGCCTGATCATCAGAGGCTTTTTTTTTTACTTTTAAAAGCATTTTTTTGGCCAAAGAAAAATTGCTTTTAAAAATTAAAAAAAAAGCCTCTGATGATTGCGCAGCTCAGCTGGGCATGGGGGGGGCAGGGATTTTTGCTATCGGTTCTCCAAACCACCTGCTGTCATTGCTACCGGATCGGGTGATCCGGTCTGAACCGGGAGCATTTCACCCCTGATGTGCATCTTTAGGAGCTGTGGGAGAGAATTTTGGCAACTCAGAGCTTTCCCAGAGAGAGGCCCAGGTTAAGAGACTGCACAGTTCTGAGCTGGATGAGAAGAGGGAGAAGAGGTTTAGGATAGTCACACCTTAGGATACGTTTAAAAAGTTGTAGCATTAGTTTGGTAATATTCAATCCATTAGCTATAAGGAAATAAAGGTTTGAACTTGATTGGATGTCATTTCTGGACTTGGGCCTGACGTCTTTTTTTCAATATGTTTCTATTTCACTGCAATGCCTTGAAATGAATCCAGAAAATCATTTTCATCCAAGAGGGCCTAGTCCCATGATGGCGAACCTATGTCACACATGCCACAGGTGGCACACAGAGCCCTTTCTGCGGGCACCCCAGCCATCACCTCAGCCCAGCTCCACCGCACATGAGCACACCTCCCGCAGCCAGCTGGTCTTCGGGTCTCTGCCGCGCATGCATGGGGGTGGGGCCTTCCCTGATCTCTGCAGGTTCCACCCTTTGCAGATGCCTCTCCATGGCAGGAAGGCAAGAGAAAGCTAGGATGTGATGGGGGTAGAAACTGCAAAGATTGGAGGAGGCACGGAAGGCAGGAGAAAGCTAGGACGTGACTGGGGGAGAAACTGCAAAGATCGGAGGAAGCACGGAAGGCAGGAAGGCAGGAGAAAGCTAGGAGGCGATGGGGGGAGAAACTGCAAAGATCGGAGGAGGCACGGAAGGCAGGAGAAAGCTAGGACTCGATAGGGGTAGAAACTGAAAAGATCAAAATGGGGCCTGGGGTGCATGTGCGGGGGCGCAGGCGCAGGGAATGTGCGGGGTGCATGCGCAGGGGCCGCTCACATTGCACTTTGGGGATTGTGGCACACATGTGTGCATCTATGCATGTGCGCACGTGCTTTAGGCACTCAGCACCAAAAAAGTTAACCATCACTGGCCTAGTCTGTTGAATTAAATCAGTACAGTTATTAAACCAGGTGCCAGTTCCCATAGATCCCTATCAGGACACTGCCATTCTGATGGAAAGGGGCCCCTGGATACTTTTTTACAACCCCATTCCTATTTCTGGATATCCTGTCACTTTGATGGACCTGCTTGGGAAAGGGAGGGGGAGGGAATTGCTTGGAGCCATCTGTTTTGTCTCAGCTCCGAAGAGACGGGCAAAGTGGTGCCTGAGAACAACTTCTTATCACCTTTCTCATTGAGTTCTCATAACAACTTTGCACCTGTGGATTGTCTCAGCTCGGACTGGACATATGTGAGGGGTTTTCTGCAACATTTAATCTAGCAGGTTTTTGATCGGGAACTTCAGATCCTGCCTTGCTTTCCTTGCTATCACTTTCCCTCAATAAAAGTTTCCTTTTGAAATAATGCCTGTTTCAAGAGTTCTGCATTCTTTCTTTCTTTCTTTTTTTAAATAGTTTTTATTAAGCATTTTTACCTTTAAAAACAGGGGGAAAAAAAGGACAAAAACACAGTAATCAATAAGACAAACATAACAATATATATTTTTACAGCCTTCTGCATCGGCATGTATATTCTGCTTTTATATTCAACTCTTCTACTTTATCTCTCTTTTATAACAACTTTGATAAATAACCACACTAGATACATATATTTATATTATACTTATTTACATAGTCAGTGATTTAATAGCAACAATAGTTAGTAGCTCTTGGTTTTTATTTAATCGATATTAAATTAAATTTTCTATTTCTTATTTTGGTTTCTGTTTTCAAGCCACTCGTGCATTTTATTCCACACTTTATAGTAATCTGAATCTTCTCTTTCCTTTATTTCCATAGTCATTTTATCCATTTCTGCTCATTCAAGAATTTTTCTAATCACTATTTCCTCTGATGGTATGTTAATCTGTTTCCACCATTGTGCAAGGGTAATCCTAGCTGCCGTTAATATATGCAGTATTATATATTGCAAATTTTTCTCTATTTTTGGACCTATTATTACTAATAGGAACAGCTCTGGTAATTTCTTCCAACCATCTTTTAATTTTACACCAATTTTTTTTTTTACATTGGGGCACATCCACCACATGTGGTAGTATGTTCCTAATGGCCACATCTCCAACATTTGGGTGATACATTTGGAAATATTTTGGCCAATCTCGCTGGAGCCAAATACCATCTATAAAACATTTTGTAAAGATTTTCTTTGTATGCTACTGCCATTGTAAATTTGTAATATCTTTCCCATAATGTATCCCATTTTTCTAATTCTATATTATGTCCAAAATTTCTAGCCCAACTAATCATAGTTTCTTTTACTATTTCCTCTTCCATTCTATATCTTAAAAGAAAATTGTAAATTTTTGTAATCATTCCCCCCCCTCCCGATCCTAATAGTAATTTGTCCATTTCAAATTGTTTGTTCCTGGTCTTTTTTAAATCTAGTTTTAATTTGTAGATAAGGCCACTATTCCAAATTTAGTCCTTGCATTTTCAAATCTTGAACTGATTTTAATTCTCCTTTTTTGTCCAGTAATTCTGCATAACTCACCATTTTGCTCAAATCCATGGTGTTTGGGTGTATCATTGCTTCCATCATTGATAACCAAATTGGGACTTTCCTATAATGATTCTTTTTGATTTTTCCCCAGACTTTTAGTAGAGC